GAGCTTCTCCCTCTCTCTGGGGTCACTGACTGCTTCTCTATACTTCTTCATATGCTCCAGGACATCTTCACAGTAGATGAGACCATTCCCATGTCCTTCCGCAGCTGGCTCTCCTGTTTCATGGGCATCATTAGCACATTGATCTTGATCTCCCTGGCCACTCCATACTTCGCTCTCATTATTATTCCCTTGAGCATCTTCTACTATTTTGTGCTGGTGAGTAACTGTGGCTTGAGTGAAGCTTCTGCCCTGCTGAGAGCAGTATCTTTGTGGCTGCTGGTCTCTGTGTTAGTAACCAAGCTGTGTTCCTCATTTCAGCGCTTCTATGTCTCCACATCACGCCAGCTAAGGCGTCTGGACTCTGTCACCAGGTCTCCCATCTACTCCCACTTTGGTGAGACAGTGTCAGGCCTTTCCGTGATCCGGGCCTATGGACACCAAGAACGGTTCAAGCAGCATAATGAGACCATCATGGACATAAATCAGAAAAGTGTTTATTCCTGGATAATCTCAAATAGGTGAGTTTTACCCCTTATGCCACAGAACAGCCTGCAGCACCTCTCCCCGGGGGCTTCTGGGTCCTGAGAGAGGTCCCTGAGATGCTGCAGTTCTCTCTCTTGATCTCAGCATTGAGGGTCTGTGTAGGAACTGGGGGAGTTTAGGATAGAGGTGCCATCTCTGGGAACGACACATGTTAGGGTGATTTTGAAAGCCAGAATGTGGACCCTACAAAGTGTCCAGAGCCTGGGTAGGGTGAGCTGTGCAGTCAGGGACTGAGATGCGCTTGGTAGGTTCTGGGAAGAGGCTGATGTTCCAGGCCAGGTAGGAGCGCGATGTGGGCACTCTTTGGTGTTGATGTCTTACTGGTAGATGCTTTGGGTGTGTGAGGGTTGTACAATTGAGGCTCCTCTGATATATGGCATTACCAGCAGAGGAGGTTATGTGTGAGACATGGACTGACATAAAATGAACCTGCTTGCAGGCCACAAATTATCTGCAATGTGTACCATGTGTACAGCACTGGGCTCAGGGCTGGGTGTGAGGGGTGCTGGTAGGGTGCTGCTCTTACTGGTGGGCTCTGTGTTGGGCACAGGCAGATACCTCTCTGCCTCTCCCACTGCCCTTCAGCTGTCCTCTCCTGGAACAGGTGGCTGGCCATCCGTCTGGAGTTCGTTGGGAGCCTGGTGGTCTTCTTCTCTGCGCTTCTAGCAGTGATTTCAAAGGGCACTTTGGAGGGCGGCATCGTGGGTCTTTCTGTCTCATCTGCTCTCAACGTGAGTCAATGAAAGCGTTTTCTTATCCCAGGACAGGGCTGTCCCTGGGAGCTCTGGGCTGGCTGCAGGAGGCTGCCCTGTCTCCAGCTCTGATCCATGAAGAGGGGATTATCTGGGGTGTCACATCACCTGGGGAGCGGCTATAAAGCCAAGGAAGCACACATCCCATTGGGACAGTCATGTTCAGGCTGAGTCCCTGAGCTGAGGTGGGAGGTGGTTGTTCCTGGGTCCCACTGAGCTCTGCATCCTCTGATTCTGCCATGCAGGTGACCCAGACACTGAATTGGCTGGTGAGGACATCTTCGGAGTTGGAGACAAACATCGTGGCTGTGGAGAGGGTACATGAGTACACGAAGGTGAAGAATGAGGTGAGGAAAACGGGGTTCAGGCAAGCACCTGCTGTACAGCGTGGTGCTCTCCAGTCTCTCGGAGTGCAAGTCTCCACCTAATGCTCCTGTGCCCTCCCCCAGGCTCCATGGGTGACAGGAAAGCGTCCACCACGTGGCTGGCCCAGCAAAGGCGAGATCCAGTTCATTGACTACAAAGTTCGTTACAGACCTGAACTGGACCTGGTTCTTCAGGGGATCACCTGCAATATTGGGAGCACTGAGAAGGTGCCTCTGCCCTCACTACACTCTTTACAGAGTTACACTGTGTTAAAGCTGTTTGTTCCTCTTGGCTTCAGTCTGTGCACTGGGGAGGGATGGTGATGGGATGTGGCTCCTGGGGACTCAAGCTGCAGGAATGGGACAGTCTGGGAGATGGTGAGGGTGGGAAAGCCCACCAGAACAAGGTGGAAAGCATCTGCCCTTTTGTCTTCAGCCCTGGTCTAAAAAGCTGCTTTCACAGGTTGGGGTTGTGGGCCGGACTGGGGCTGGAAAATCCTCCCTCACCAACTGCCTCTTCCGAGTGCTGGAGGCTGCTGGAGGGAAGATCCTCATCGATGACTTGGACATAGCAACGATTGGCCTCCATGACCTGCGCAAGAACCTCACCATCATACCCCAGGTGAGCTGATCACCACGTTTCCATATCCCACTGCTGTGTGGCTCCTTCCTGCAGGCTGTTTCCTGGGTTATGCATTGCCCTCAGTGCATCCCTGGGTGCTGTGGAGACACCAAAGGCCTGTAAGCATGCTGTCACCGTCTCCCCTGCCCAGCTGCAGGCAGCAGCATGGGCAGGATGTGGCCACACTTGGGGGCCTGGAGCCATTGCCCCTGCTGAATGGCTGTGGTGTGGCTGAACACAGTGCTGTCTCTGGCAGGACCCTGTGCTCTTTACTGGAACCCTGCGGATGAACCTGGACCCCTTTGATGAGTACTCAGATGAGGAGGTCTGGAAGGCCCTTGAGCTGGCTCATCTGAAGACGTATGTGCAAGACCATCCCGAGGGACTGCTGCACCTCGTGAGCGAGGGAGGGGAGAACCTGAGGTGAGCAGGCCCAGCTCCCCTCCCTTCTCTTGCTCCAAGGGACCGGCCTGGAACAGCAGCCTCTGGCAGAATGGCTGTCCAGAAATGAGGGCACAGAAACTTCTGGGAAAAGAAGGTGGGAGAAAAGGGTACAGGAGCCAGGGCTCTCAGGATGCCAGCGTGAGCCAGCCCTTCTACGAGGGCCCAAAAAGATGCTGAGAGAGAGAGTGCTCAGGGTGGCAGATGCAGGGGGAAGGCCAGGCATGGTGTTGGGTCAGGGCAGTGTGTGCCTGTAGGCTCACAGAAGCTCTGATAGTGTCTGTTTAGTAACTCATGTTCTCCATCTCATTCCAGTGTTGGGCAGAGACAGCTGGTGTGCCTGGCCCGGGCCCTTCTCCGCAAAGCCAAGATCCTCATCCTGGATGAAGCAACAGCAGCTGTAGATCTGGAAACTGATCATTTAATCCAGACAACAATCAGGAGCGAGTTTTCTGACTGCACTGTCCTTACTATCGCCCACCGCCTCCACACCATCATGGACAGCAACAGGTACCGTGGGACAGTACCATGGGGCAAGAGGAATGGGAATCTGGACCCCTAGGATGGGGCAAGAGGTGGCCAGCAGCAGAAGCAAGGATACAGCCAGAAGGGCAGGAGTGGATGTAGTGCCTGGGGCAGTAATACACAGTGGTTCCAGAAGAGAACAGAGGGATAGGAAGGTTGGCCATGCCGTAGTTATGCTTTTGTGGGAGAAACATTTTTTGGTATTGTTCTTTACAGCAACAGACCATAAAGGCACTCGCTGTTGACACCTTACATGAGTCACCCTGCCAGCACAGGGAGGAGGGCTGTGCCCTCACCACTGCTGAGAGGTGGTTGAGTCACCCTGCCAGCACAGGGAGGAGGGCTATGCCCTCACCACTGCTGAGAGGTGAACCACATAACGTGGCCACAGGAGGAGTGAGAGTCAGTGGGGGTGCAGCGCTGGTGCCATCAGTGCTATCAACTCGGATCCTGGGAACTCAGGCCTTCTTGTTCCCCTCTGCCAGGGTGATGGTGCTGCAGGCTGGGCAGATTGTGGAATTTGACAGCCCCGAGGAGCTGCTCCAGAAGCAGGGCATCTTCTCCATGATGGCGAAGGACGCTGGCATCACCAATGCTGAAAGTACCGCCCTGTAGGGGGAGCGCTGCAGCGCCCAGGTGTGTGCGGGCAGCTCCCTCCTGCTGGCGCTCACCGAGCCGGCGTCAGCGTCTCCCCGCAGCCAAGCTGCCCAGGATTTTGCCTTTCTGCAGCTGGGAAGCAGAGAGGGTGGCTTCTCTGGTTGTCCAGAGACAGAGCATCTGGACTCGAGTGAGCTGTTAACGTTGCTACCACGCCCTGCCTGCTGTGCACACAGGGGTCTGGAGCTGCTTAACTTATTCTACAGAGGGGAAAAGCTATCTGCGACGCAGGGAGATCATGACCCCTGTTGGGGGTGGTCTTACTTTTTGTACTTCACCATGCCAGGTGAACCTACCTTAGAGATGCTTTAGCACTGTGGAATTAAATTACTGTTTAATCTAAGAATGGATGCTATAACTTATTTACTTTTTGTAACTGTTTCTAGTCTTTCAACTAAAAGGCTGACATCAAGCCTTGGTTTAGCCTTAAACCCAGCTAGTGCTTGGGGGAAGCTGCCAACAGAGGTTACACAGAGGGGTGGGCAGTCCAAACTGAGTGGCACAGCTACACCCAGGCATGAACGCTATGTGGCAAAAACAGGGTCTCTCGGCCTTCCCTGTGGCTATGATCCCGACGATTGTAGTACAAATAAATGAGCCCCTCCCTGAGGCTATTTGTAACCAGCAGTGGGGCACATTTTGGGCTGTGGCTCCAGACTGCAAACCTGACTGTGGCGGAGACAAACTGAAGAGGTGGAGGCACGTGTCTGTCCTACAGCCATGGACACACAAAATATGGTGGTTACTCTTGACAAACTCTTGACTCCTCTTTGTTCCTGGACACCAAAGTCAGGAGCTGTACTGCTGACCTCAGTGCTGGCATGGAGGGAACAGGTGCAAACACAAACACCCCCACCCAGCAGGGGAAGAGGGCAGTGCAATCACTTAATCTGAATGAAGAACTTTCATGTGAGGGTTTCCCAGTGCGTGAGCTGGAGCTGGCACAAACACCATGGCAGAAGCATGCTGGAACCCAGTGAAAGGGAATTTTCCTGGCCTTGCAGGGTCTGCATGAAGTCTGTGGGCTTTGCCCCCACTGCAGCACTGGCCAGGCACTCCTCCCAGCTCTCCCAACATTTGCACAGGCACCTTCTATACACAAGGGCAAATCTTTATTTACAGAGCAGCAGTACAGGGGATACAAACATTGCCACATGAAGAGAGCTTCTTCCCTTCTGGGCATGGCAGCAGCAGGTATCACACACCAACCCACCAAAAGGCAACACATCCCTCCCAGGGACGCTCCTGCCCTTCCAGAACATCAGCACTGTCTCCAGTGCCCTGAAAGAAGGCACAGGTGAGGCAATTCTGGTCAAAGCCCCCCAAAAAATCAAACTGGAAGACAATTTGTGCTTTGCCTTCTGCCCTGCCCCAGCCCAGAGCTGCCAGGTAGGCTTGTCAGTAAAAAGATGGGTCTTGGGCATGGGAAATGCATGGGAAATGCACTGACAAGGCAAGATGGTGTTCTGGACTTCTGGCTCACCTGAGATGAGAACCTGATGGCTGCTGGTAGCAGCAGAGCTTGGAGAGGCTGAGCCCCTGGAAGGCCAAGCACAGGGATAAGGCACCTGCTGGGGGCTTTGTTGTGGGAATTTCAGAGGCCAGGCCCATCCCAGCCCTGGAGCTCAGCTACTCCCAGCAAACCTCAGAGCTGCTTCCCCAGGCAGGTGTAGATGTCCCACCCTGGGTCCTGCACAGACAGACAAAACCCAGCTCCTACTGCTGCTGCTCACAAGGCACAGAGAGCATGTTGGTGAAGTCTGGGCTGCTTTTAATACTACTTGACTAAACACAGTCTCCAGAAACTTGGCATCAGTCTTCCACAATTTAAACCCACAGCAGCTCCTCAGCTTTAGTCGAGCCTTACCCTCCTGGGCAGACCACAGCCCCAAGCCTTGCTCCCCTGCCCCTGGCTGCACACAGGAGGCTCAAACAGCACAGGTGAACTCACCCCTGCCCTCGCACAAGCTGCCTGTCCTGCCTACCTGGCCAGCTCACCATTCTTCCTCCCTTGATGGGGAGGTGGCAGCCAGTGTGTTGGGGCCCAATAGCACTGCACAGTCTTGGGGCAAGCAGTGAGGGCTGCAAAGCTGGCCAGCCTCCCCAAGACCCCCAGCAGTCCTGGCAGGAACAAGGCATGGGGTGCAGGCTCCTGCCTGCCGCCTCACGTGTACTCTGTCTTCCGGATGTAACTCGAGGGCACATAGCCCTGCTTCCCGTGTGCCTCGGCCAGCCACCACTCCTGATTGCCTGTTATGTCCTCAAACTGCAGGATCTTGAGTCTTTGGTTAGCTGACACACTCAGCTCATTAGTGTTTCGGCCTTTGAAGGTGTAGAGAGCGTAATAGACCTGCCAGACAGAGGGAGAGTATCACTTGGATGGTCACACCACACAGCCTTGCTGTTGCACTGCATAGAATGTGTGGGCTTTTGTCCTTCTCACCACACAGTGCCAGCCCTAGCCCCGTCCTGGCCTCTGCCAGAGCTGCATCCACCTGCCCACCCCCATTTGCAGCCTGGTTCTCTGCCTCTGCATCTCTGCTGCTGGGAGAAAAGATCTCATACTTCACGTTTCACCTCTCCCTGGTCACTCCCAGGGAGGAGGATGACTCAGTCCCCCGTTAAGCAAGGGGATCAGCCCTCGGGATCCCCAGCCTCCCAGGGGTGGCTGAGAACTCACCTGGTTGCCCTCTGACTCGCTGCTCTCCAATCCAGAGTCTCTGTCCTCCACTGAGGGCGTGGGCCTGAGATGCGCTTTGGTGGGGTGCCCGTTGCGAGAGCTGGGGCTGCAGCCCAGCTCGAGGCGGCTGTAGCGGCACTGAGACATCACTGTACCAGCCTCCAGTGGGCCTGTCCTGTCACCGCACCCAAGCTGGGGCAGAGAGGGGGAGTCCATCTCCAATGGGGGCTGCCCAGACTGGTATGTGTCTGCTGGGGAGGCAGAGTCCTGCAGGGGTTTCTGAGTGAAGGTGACGGCTGCCCCGCTGGGGCTGAAGGTCAGTGTGGCGTTGCTGTGGGGAGAGGAGTTGCTGTGCTCCGACTCGTTGGAAGAGTGGCTGCCCACAGAGACGTCCGACTGACTGCGGCGTGGGTTGTAGGGCTTCAGAAAGGAGCTGTACACAAAGCCTTTCGTCACTGCAGAGAGGCAAAGAAAGAGAGGTCAGACTGGGGCACAGGACAACCAGAGGAAGCGACTCCTCACAGGCAGTAAGGGCAGGGAGCAGCCACTTACCCCCATTGTCTATGAGCCAGCGATTCTGGCTGCCCATGGGGTCCTTTTTCTTGATGACACCCACAATGTCTCCTTCCAGCAGTGAGACATCCAGGTCCTGGGCAGCATTGAAATTGCGCTCTGCCTGGAAGAGACTCTCTGGAGGATAGCGGGCCAGGAGGGCAGCTCGGACGTCATCCGTCTGCAGGAGGTAGGTCGGCTGCAGAGGAACAAGGCAGGTGTGAGTGGCTGTCCTGGGCTCTGCAAGCCCTGACACAGGCAGAGGGAACTCACCAAGCCGCCAAGGGGCTGCCGCCGGGCAGACTGCCGCTCCATGCTCTTCCTTTCAAAAGTCTTCTTGGGAGCTGCCTGGGACTCTGGGAAGAAGGTGAAGGCCTGGAGCTGCTGGAGGACTCGACTGTGCTCATCCTGGAAGACGGCAATAAGGTTCCCCTCCCTGCCAGACACCTTTAGCAACTAGAACCAGAGCAGAGTTGGACATCCTGTTAGATGACAGTTGCTGGGAAACGTGGCCAAGAGCTATAGCAAAGACCATGACAGGGGTTCTGCATCCTGCCTGTGACTTCCATCGGACCCAGAATTGCAGTCCTGCCTGGACTCAGCTCTGAGTGGTCCTCAAACTCATGACCTGAGATTCTCCCAGGCAAATGCTCTTCTGCCACAATTGCATCATGACCCCACAGTCCCAGCCCTGACACATCCCACAGGAGCCCTCCACAAGTCACTTGTGGCCTTAAACAGGGACAAGCTCTGCACAGAGTTTAGTGCTGCACTGAGCCCAGAGCACTGTCTGCACTGTCTGGGGAACCCACCGACAGCAGGGGTCTCAGCTCCTCCAGGGCCAGGCGCACGAAGTCACAGTGTGCCTCGGCGTAGCCCCGCACGCAGCTGGCAAACAGCTCCTTGGCGAAGCGCAGGAACTTGGGCAGCTCATCCAGCAGCTGGGCATTGAGTGCCTCGTAGTTGTTGCGGGCTGACTGCAGCTCCTCCAGGGTTCGCTTGTCCTTCAGCTTCTCCGCTTTCTCCGTGCAGTTGTGGAAGTCAAGTAGTTTGTCAAACCGTTTCTGCACCAGCTTGTGGGGCCCTGCAAACATGCTCAGCAGCTGGTTCAGGGGTGAGCTCACCAGCCGCTCCGTCCGCTCTTTCTGGTGTGCAGAGATGCAGAGAGAAGGTGAGACAAGATGCTCTCTCCCACTGTGCAGTGAACACTAACAGCTCATTTTCCAGCACACAGGAAAATGTCCTCCCTAGGACAGTATAGGGACTGTCTTCCTGGTGACACCTACAAAAGCTCCAGAGCTCCCTTCCAAGAGGAATTATTCTATAATCTTACATAACTTTGCCAGCACAGGTAACACCATGGAAAGTACCCAAAACACTCACATAAAGAGTTGTAGCATTTTCAGGTAGGGCTGAAAAAATGTGTAACTAACAGGCACATCCATAAAGTCCCAGGCATCAAAGCTCTCAGGAAGGAAGAACTAAGCAGGAGTGCTCACACCTCTCCCAAGTTACCCTCCCTGCAGCCTCCCAGGGACTGCCCTTCTGCAGCAAGCCCCCAGGGAGGGCCCCTGAGGGGTATCTCCAGCATATGAGAGCACAGCCTCACTCACAAAGTTGGAGAAGAGTTGGTCACTGATGAGACGATTCACTTTCTGGAACTGGTCCAAGTCCCCACTCGCCTTCTCTGTGCACAAGTCCCACATGCTCCCTGCTGCCAGTGCCTTCATACAAGCAGACTCCTGCACCAGGGAGACAGAGTCAGCTCAACCACGCCTGCTGCCCAGAAGAGGCCTCCCAGGGCAGCCCAGACCCTCAGAGACCACCCTCCCAGCAGGGCTGAGGCCAAAAGCACTGGCCAGAGGCACTGCAGGTACACACCATGCAGACAGGAGGGGCAGTGCACGGCGAGTCCCACAGGTTTGGCATCACATCCAGACTGACTCACCCGGACATGCTGCAGGTAGAGGGAAAGGTCTCGGATGAAGGACTTGATCAGACGCTCCTGCATCCGGAAATTTTTCTCCATTTCTTCAAAGGCTTCATCCTTCAGCTGTGAGAAAAAGTGTTTCAAGGAAGGCAATGCATGACTCCAGCACCTTCCAGAGTGCAAGATGTGGGGCCTCTTGCCCACAAGCTGAACAGCAGAGATGGGTGGTTCAGATCCTAAGCTCACACTGCCTTGCTGCTCTTGATCAGAGCTACACTTTGGGGAAGGAGGGTGGAAGAACAGCAGATACCACTGGAGAGGCACTGCAGGGTGTAAGTGTACGATGCACATTACCTGGGGTGCAAAGCCTGTGAGATGCTTGAGGTGGCTGCTCACACGGTTGGATTTCTTGATGATAGAGTGGAAGTTGAGCTTGGAGATCTTCTCCATGAGGCTATCCTCATCCCCCTTCCTGTACTTTAGCACTAAAGAGATTGATATAGAAATTAAAACCCTCATAAGCACAACACTCATGTCTTACAGTGCCTCATTAACAATCACCCTGCTGGCTCTCCCCCTCCCCAAGCCTCTGTAGTCCCAAGTATCCCACATATCACTATAGAATGGTCTGGACTGGAAGGGACCTTAAAGGTCCATGACTGTGTGTGTCAGCTAAGGCTCAGGGGTGAGCAGACGCCAATCTCAACACACCCACTCCTGTCTCTCTCTGGCCAGCACTGCCCAGCTTCTCACCCAGGTCCTTCCGGCGCTTGTATTCATTGATGTTGACGTTGATTTCTTTGACTGCAAGGACAGCAGCTGTGAGTGGTGCCTTATCAGGATGAGCCTCGGGAGTAGCACTCAGCAGCTCCATCAGCAGCAGTGGGTACCGCATCACCCTTTGCACTGGCTTGATGAGGAAGGAGCCCAGGTTAATGTAGTTTGTGCAGCCCCTGGGAAGTCAGGACACAGGAGATGTACCAAGTGTCAGTCCAGCTCTGCCACACAAATTCTGCCTCCTCAAACCAAGCCAACCAGACTCAGAACACCGCCTCTAAATCCACTGTACTCCCTAAGTCATGCCACCCTCATGTCCAAACTCACTGCACTCCTGAACTCCTGGTGCTGTCAGATCAACCCCAGGTTTCCAGTTCTCACTCATACCAGGTGATTTTTCCCAGCCAGGATCCTCTCCATCACCATGAAATTCTACATAGGCACAGCCTCACACTTGCCAGAGCGCCACCTGTCTCAGACTGTCCCACCACCCAACTGTGCTCAGTCATTGCTGAGGGCTCCCAAAACCTGTTTCCTGACCAAAACCTCCCCATGCCTCATCCCCTGTACTCCTACCTGTGTAGCCCATCCACTGGTTCTGCTGCAATCATACCACACACACCCCTCTCCTCACAGGCATGTCCCAAGGCACTGTTAGGCCCCCCCAGCACGCACCCAGCCAGTGGCAGCAGATTAGTTACAAATGAAAGCAAAGCCAAGACAGACAGACAAGCAAGGACTAAGTGGAAGGATGCACTTACCACTCACTGTACAGGCTCCTGCCGGCCCACAGAGTGCCAAAAAGCAAAGAAAAGCAATGGGTTAATGTGGTGGCAGGTGTGCAGCCCTGTCCCCTCAGAGCAGTTGCCAGCTCCTGGGGCAATTAACCTGCACAAGCTGGAGCCATGGCAGTCACTGAGCCAGGCAAAGCGGCTCCTTCCTCACCAGCCATGGTGGGTCAGAGTTAGGGAAACAGGAGCCCTCAACACAGTACATGCCACCTCCTCTGCACCTTGGTGGCTTCTGTGAAGATTTAAGGGGGTCTGCAGGTTTTCCAGCACCTGTGCATTGGGGCAGGGGGCCATTTGAATCCAGTGCCTGGTCAACAAGGCAGTGACACAGTAGACCTGAACTGTCCAAACACTGCTGACAGAGAGGCAGGGATGTTGGAGGCTGATCCCCCCTACCCCAGTCTAGTGGTTGCCAGACAGAGGCTCCAACCTGAGGCTATCCAATAGGTCCAGGAGTAGTTTCTGCATCTTCTCATCCTTCTCATAGGTTTCCAGCAGTGCAATGGCCTCATCATGGTTCTGGCAATATACCCTGTAGACACTCTCCAGCTCTGCACGCTGTGCCAGGAACACCGGCCCTGCAGACAGCAACAAAGCAGGATTTCAGTGTCACCTGGTCCCCAGGTGCCTTCAAAAATGTTGGTGTCCCTCATGATGTCCAGTGTTCCCGTTCCACACAAACAGGTCAAGAAGACAGTGCTACTAGAGCATGCAGGACACCTCCTCATCACCCACTAGTGTGTAGAGATCAATCAATCCAGGTCTCCCGGGGGTGAGAAGTGGAGCCAAAGAGCAAAGGCACTGGCAGCCCAAGGTCTGAAGGGGCAGTGCAGGAGCGAGGAGTGGGGCTCGCTTTGGGGCAAGGGGCCACGGAGGGCTACAGGCACCGTGTTTCTCAGCAGTGACCCATGGGGCAACACAGATCTCCCTGGCTTCGCTGTTGGATTGATGAGCGGCAACAGAGACCAGCAGGGAGAAAGCCCAGTCCCAGCGATCTTCTCCCACCATTTAAACTGTTATGCCCAGCCACTAGCAAAGCTCATCCTACCCTTCTGACAAAAGTTAACAGCAGAATCCATACCAATGGCATCTGAAGCCTCCAAGGTGGACAGCAGCTGCTTGGAGAAGCTAATCACCATGTGGATGTTTCCAAAAAGGGCCTCAAAGTCTATGTTCTGCATCTAGTGAACGGGAAAAGAGATGTCCTGGATGGGGGAACAAGTCCAAGTAAGACCTAACAGCCCCCTCTTGCCCTCCTCCAACTCATCAGTCCTCAGCTTCACAGCAGACATCTGCTGCCACCTCCTTCCATCACAGTGACTTCTGCACACACTCCCTTGTCCCCCAGTGCACTGAAACTCTCACTCCTAATGTGTCCTACTACAGTGTCCTCCTCTTTCCCAGCAATTCCATCCCTGCCTCTGTTCACCTTGTTTTTCTCGCTCTCCTCTCAATAATTCTGTCCCCATGCCAAGGCCCCATATTTTAATTCTCTTGACAATGAATTTAACCTACAAATCAAATGAAGAGGAACATTTCCTGCCCCAGGTAATGAATCTGTGATACTTGCTCCCAGTTCTCTTGCTCTCAGCAAGCACGAAAGCTCAGCAGGATCTCAAAACAGATGGGCTACTGCTACAAATGCAAGGAGCTGTGAGAGCCATCCTGTTCCCCTCGGCATAGCCTGAATTTCCTTTATGGGTTTCCATGTTGCTTGCTTGCCTCTGAGAACAAAATGGACTCAATATCCTCACCCCAATCCTCCGGTGCTGCACCACAGCTTGCCCTCCCTCCCAGCTCCTACCTGTGCCTGCTGCAGGGGCACCATGATTCTCTCCACGCACATCTCTAGGTCTCTGATATAGTCTCGCTCTGTCTGGAGCAGTTCCTCGATAACCTTGGACCTCTTCTCCAGCATCCTTTGCTCTGCGCTCTCAGTGGCAGCCGAGGATGTCTCCAGGGATGGTGTCTGGGAGGACAGGAGAGTCATCTCTGCAAGACAGACGAGCAAAATCAGCATGCTCCAACAAAGATGTAAGGACAGGAGACAAACAGCATCTGTACTGCGAACACAAGTAACCTATGAGAGTGACAAACATCAGTGCCGAGAGACCAAGGCTGTCCATCCACAGGCCTTTCCAGAGCTGCCACCCCCGGGGCAGCAGGGAGCCCCGGCCTGCTCCACAGCCCACCCTCGCAGCACCGGGAACACTGCAATGCCCCGGCTTTGAGGGCCGCAGGCAACAAACCTGCTCCAGACGGTTCCCCCGATGCCGGCCGGGCCCAGACTCCTCTCCCACCCTCGCTCTCTAACTCTGCGGCTTCAGGAAGCTCCGCGGGGCTGAGCAGACACGGAGGGGAGCCCCCGGTTCCCAGGCGGACAATGGCGGCCGCCCCCCTCTCTCAGGCCGGGAACAGGGTCTCCATTCTGCAGCCCCCGGGCATTTCCATGTGAATGGCCGCACAGGGCCCGGGCACCCACAATGGTGCCGCCGCCGGCAAAGCCCGGAGCTGGAGCGCGGCCAGGGCGCGGGGCCGGGCCGCCCCCGGCCCTGGGTGCCTGCAGGGCCCGGGGCTGGGCCGCCCTCCTCGGCCCCGTCCACACAGCCGCAGCCGCCTTTCCTCCTGGTTTTCTGTCCCACCTGCGGCTCCAGGCCGGCCCAGCCCCCTCGGTTTTCATTGAGACATTTTATCCCCCCGCAGATTCCTGGGCCCCAGCCGCCCCCTGCCCCACCTGCTAGCTTTTGAAAGCATGTCCCCTCTGGCCGAAACCACAGCCACGGCGTTCCCACCGCCACCTCCCCAGCCCGGGGGAGCCCCTCTCCCGCACCTCCCTGGGACATCCCTCCGGGGCAGGGTCTGGCCCAGGAACACTCAGGTCTCCCCCATTTCACGGCTGCTTTGTAGCACGGAGGCCCCCGAGCCACTCGCAGCAGCCCAGCCTGCCTCAGGTACCCCATTTAATATCAATTGCTGATTTGACAAATGTCCGTCCACTCCAGCCGTCTCCCACGGATCACCAGCTGCTCGCTCTTAATGGGATTTTATTAGAGTTGCAGACATGCCCCAGCTCAGACATTTCTGAGAATGTTTTTGCAGGACTGGCACTTTCAGATCTCCCTCTCCCTGACCTCTCTGGTGACAGCCTCAGGCAACGGGGGCTCAGCCTGGGAGACTCCCAGGGATACCCAGCAGGGGTTGGGACTTTATCCTGGTACCAAAGCACCCACGGTGAACAGCCCCAAGAGACCCCCATGCTCCCAGCCACTTCTGCCCAGGTGCTGGGCAGGCTGCAGGCAGACCCCAGCCTTGCCCTGCAGGGTGATGGCAGTAACCAGCATGGGAAATTGCTGCCTCAGCCCAAGCACCCTGCCCACTGCTCAGCCAGGCTGGGCTTTTCACACTGAAGCGACCTAGAAAAGAAAAGAAGAGACCCAAGCTGAGATGAGACACTGACTCAACCCATAATTATCTGAAACCATCGCCAGCCCTTTCAGCCCTTCCCATTGCAGAGCAGCATTGATGAACAGAAACCACGAGCATCAGCATCAAGCATCAAGTTGTCACAGCTACCTGGGCTGAGGACAAACTGCTGTGCCGCTCTGCAGAAAGAACAACATCACAATCATTCCCATTTCCAGCCACGGCAAATGAGAAACCCAGCTGAAAGACTCAGAAGATGCCCTCGATGTAGGAGGTAAGATACCTGTCTCTGTAAGCTGCACCTCTGCTGCCCTGCCTTGAAATCTAGCCTGGGGAGAGGCAAACCGGCTAGCTCAACAGAGGAGGATTTAGTGACACAACCAGCACTACATTTAGAAGGCAATCATTGGGAAGAGAAAGCCTCACTGATTCCTACTGGCAAGTATCCTTAAGAGTACCCCCACCAGAGCCAAACTGCATAAGGGAAAAGGCTGGTTTCAGCTAAGTCCATAGCTGTCTTGGCTTGTTTCCACCAGTCCCTGATGATAAACTTTATCAACTCAAAAGCAGCAGGAATCCACAAGGAGGGTCTGGGAGCAGCCGCTGGGTTTAACATTTGCTGTTTGCATTTCCACAGCATCTGCAAAGCCTCGGTGGCAGACCAGGCCCTGCTGTGCAAGGTCCTCTACAAACACTTGCAGGGATATCCTGCCGGAGACACAGCATTTGGAGCCTGAACAGGCAGAAAAACCTACAGGAGAGACAATTAAACATCAAGATAATAACAGTCAGCAGGTCTCTGTGGCTCAGAGAGTTAAGGAAGTAACAACAAATGAGTTATTTTAAAGAAATATATATATTTTTTAAGGAATGGCATTTGTTTTCAAGGAGAGCAAGCTCAAGTGGGAAAGCAACCTGGAAGAAACAGGAAGGTGTTAATTTGCAATGCAAACAGGTGTGTGAAACCCAGAGGAGGTGGGAGGGTGAGATGATACTACTGCATGGGGTGGGCTGGGAAGAATCTTGAAAATGAAAACCAGCCAGAATAACAGCTGGAAATGACCAATGCATCTTGCCATATGCTATGATGGACATGATTGTAAAACCCTTTCAATTATATTTTCTGTGTCCTGCCATTTCATGCCCCAAGAAAACAAATAAAGTGTCAAAGCATTTGGGAAGATAAATGGAAAGAATTACATTTGCCTTGGTCAAAGAATAGGACTTTGTATTTTTATGCAGGCAAAATGCCACTAGATGAAGCTTTTTACAGGACACCTCAAGAGCTTACCGCACCACCAAACAATCCTGCTGTACTCCCAGCCTTAGCCATAGCTAAATTGCAGTCACACCATGTGTCTGGCTCCAGATCACCAAAACAGAGCTGGGGATGTCCAGCACTGCTGGCAAACACAGCAGCTCCCCACGCTCCACCAAGCGAACCCCAGGCAAGTAAATCTAGGTCAGGCCCTTACAGACAGTGCCCTGCAGCAAGGATTCAGACAACACTCATGAGATTGCCAGCTCCATGACACCCTTCTTCAGCAAGTCTCAAGTCCCTGCCTATGGGAGGGAAATTAAAACCTTCCCTGCACAGATTTTAAGCTCACAGTAGTCATCAGCTCAGCTTGGTTGACCTGGCATAATGCTGGGTACTAGTTCTACTCACACTGTATCAGTATTTGCATTATTTTGAAAACTCATACAAATTAATTCTCCTCTGGTCCTCCTGGTCTTTTTGAATATTTCAAGATTCATTCAAAACCAAGGCTACATTGCAGTCAAGTATCTTAGGACTTTTGCAGTTTATCACTAGTCTAGCATCCTCCTTCACCAATGAACTCTAAAGTCCTACTTCTTTCCAAACACTCGTAGTTCAAAATTTTCAAATACAGAATTTATTTTTAATATTTGGCTCTTCTATCTGACCAACATATATAACTTCGTATTTGTTTCTGATGCGTTTACAAACTCTCACTTTTTGTATTTCATACCATGTCTGTTGCTTGTCATCAATTTATTTTTTCCTGTTTGTCACACATTCTTGTATGTCTAATAGTAGTTTTCCCTAAATGAGGCTTATTAAGAATTTATCTAAACCCGCCAATTTCACAGATGTGAAATTGGTTTTGGTCATCTAGTAAATGTATTTTAAACACAGCTCCATTTTACTTCACAGATTTTCTATTTAAATGTTACCTTTCAATTTGAGTCATCATGCCCATCAATTTTGAAGGCATTAAGAACCACAGCTAGAACAGACTCTATTAGCCTGCAGGAATGTGACTGGTATTTCTAATGAAGCCACCAAATTCCGATCCAGTGACAAATTCAAGTTTACCCATGACACAGTTGCCAAACGGGCATTTAGAAATACATTTCCAAAAACAATGTTCTCAATCATGATTTTCAGAGGCTCAGATTTTGTTCTCTTGTAGGTTTTGCTCTGTAATTTGCCTCTCTAAATTCAAACCTCCTAACAACATCATTTTCTCTATCCCCTTTGGCAAATTTGCGACACGTCCTTGGCTCTCCAGATTGGTTTGATGGTCTGTGACGGCCTCCTAGGAGCACCTGCTTTTGAGCTTTCCTAGTACGCCTGCAGAGCCTTGCGAGATTCAACACTAGCTCACCCTGGAAATGAGGTGTCAAGCTGGAGCACATTCCCACTTCTGCCCTTCCCGTGGAAGCTGTGATTTACTATCACAATCACATGGCTCATGCTGCTTGTCTGAGAAATGCCACTGTGATCAACTTTCTTCCAATTAACAAAACCTTCGAATTCTTGTTACCTAACCTCCTCGTGGGAGCACACATGCAATTAGAGGTTTTCCCTGCCCCACTCTGGAAGCAGAGTTGACCCACAAAGACCAGATCCAATGGGATGCATGTCCACCACGCACAGGCTGCAGGGCTCCCCCGAAGGTCTGCATCGCCCCCCAGCTGCTCCTCGTCAGGGCTCACCTGCCAGCATCCCCCGTGCCTCGGCGCAGCCTCGCAGGGCGCACACGCTGCTAAGGCGATCCGCACAGTCTGAGGAGGGACGCGCCGCCCATCCGCACCGGGTCGGCGAGCAGGAACCTCCGTGGGAGATGCACCCAGCCCCGAGGCAAGCCCAGCCCCAGGTTCACAGCTCAGCAGAGTCAAGCAGTGAGTCAGGACAAAACAAACCAGCTGCAAATATTTGAAGTATGTGGAGGCCAAGAGGGGAGGAGCCGCTGCCGATCATGAGAGGGGAGGCGATGAAACTAGGGCAGGGAATAATTAATCTGAGCAAAAGGCTAAACTCACTGCCAGGAGCAGGATCTGGCTGGGGTGGAAACTCTTACTCTGGACATTGGTAATATGCCAGTGAGCTGAACAGGAACAGAATGGGGATGCTTTCCCAGGGCCACTGGAATGGCTTGATGTCGGACTTACAGCCTACTTGGTGGGGATGTTTCTATGTCAGGTAGGATCACAACCATCACCCCAAACAGCCTGTGGTTGCCCAGACAGTCCTACGGCATTCAGTGTGAACAGGGGATGATCTCAACCCATGACACAGAAAAAAAGTGAAGTAATATGAT